TTTCTTGGTTTCCTGTGGACTTGCCATGCCTGTTCCAATTTAAGGCTCTGTTAGTCCTGGATTCAGATTTAACTTGGATCTAGGAACACTCTTTTGTGGAGTACTTTTCCTTTAGTGTTGGAGTCTATCCGGTAAGCAAGAGAGATTTTGAGGCATTCTGAGCATCTTGCACAGAAGCAGGCTTTTGTCTAGCAGTATAGGACTTTAGGTGTTGGGGCTTAAAGACTTCTAAACATTTAGAAGGATTCTTGTGTCTAAGAGGACTTTCTTGGGCATAGATGGCAGTAAACCATATAGTAGTTTTTCAAGGTGATTTCCCCCTCTTCTATATATCACTATACTTCTTTACAAGTAAAACATAGACATTTATGGCTGGTAAAAATAAAGTAGTCAGCAAATGGAGAGGTCCATAAGATGCAAACCTAACCTCAAAGACTATTCCAGTATAATAAGCAAGGCCACGAACTACAGATGCATCAAATTGAATCCAGTCAGAATAACCAAACTTTTCGGCAAGTGAAAAGAGTTGTTTCAGATCTTTAACAGCGTCTCCAGCATCTCCAAGTATCTCTACATGTTGCCAGGTATAAGATACATAATCAGTAATTACAAAAACCAATTATATTGTCCCACAGAATATATCTGATTCATAGAAAAACTTTAAAATTGAAAGATCACTGTAATTACAACACAAACTTGTACATTGAACCAAACTGTAGAAAGAATAGCCAGCTACATTCAAACATATATCTATGTGTATAATGACAATAAGGGAAGAACTTACAAGGATAATTACTATATTACTTTTTTCTCTACCACTACCGCCACTAAACACACACACATTGCAACAGACAACATAACAGAGTTGCAACTTATCTATGAGAGGTTTTTTTTATCAGTAAATGTTAACTCATCTATGAGAGTTTTACAACAAACCTTCCAACTTGTCCAATGACTTAACAGATAGAACTTGTAGTAGCTCCTCAATTGCTGCTTCTGATATTCCAACTGATACCAACTCTCCTTTAATCTCCTCAATAGGAATCTTTTCTATCTGCTTCACAGCATAACAACATAGAAAGAAGAAACTGTGAATTACTGTTATACCAACGGAGCAACTTTAAATGCAAACACAAATGGAACTCAAGATACCAAGAAGCACAGTTAACCTCATTATTTTATGACAACAATAGCTGGTAAGCTTAATGGGTCAATAAAGAAGAAGACTTTGCAAATAAAAAACTGAAAAATTGTGATTTAGTTTGTAAAGCACTAGACGAAGAAGACACCATCTTATTTTTTTATTGGAAATGGTAACTTTCATTAAAATAGCCGTTAAACACATACAATGTCAACCGCTCAGAGAATGAGTGTTCACCCCAAACGTATCTCAAAGTTTACAATACAGCCCAAAAAAGGTTTTCCCTGAGGGTCCCCTACTTTGCCAAAGTATCAGCCACAGAATTGGCTGACCTCCTTACTCATTTGAAGATTACTCCAGCTTCCCTTGCTAGGCAAAGTATTTCCCTCATTTGTTATCTAAAAGTCCTTATACCCAAGCTTTTTGTCTGCAGCCAGCTGGCAGCCTATTAATAGTTTACAATCTCCCTCAACCTCGAGGTATTGATATCCCCATTGCTTGGCCAGCCTCAAACCTTGGAGTAGGGCCATGATTTCAGTCCTTAAAGTCTCCCACATCTATGAGGCCAGAGTAAAGTGCTTCCATCCTGCCCTCCCCATCCTTGAAAACTCCCCCGACTCCAGAGGACCCCGGGTTGCCCAATGAGCTTCCATCAAAATTCAATCCAAAGAAGAAAAGAAGGCTATCTCAAGATTGTAGTTCTATTTGTACAATGTGCCCTAAATATGGGATCTAAAATATGCACCTTGGGAGTGGTTCAACTAGGAAAAATTTATTGTAGGTGGGGAGTAGTTTCTAATAAATAAAAGGCACATGAGGCCCATCCTATTAGTCACCTGTAAAAGGTATACAAGGTTTCCCTCCCACCAACTCACCTTGTCTCTGCCCCCGCCCTTTGGCATTGATTTCATTCTAGAAGTTATCTGGAGTTTTCTCAAATCTAATAGTGGAAGGTAACTGAAAAGTTGTACTTTCATCACCTTTTTTCAGTAGATTCAATGGTTATTGGGATCCTAATCATTGGATTATAGAGTCAAAGATGCTGGTGCCTAACTTGAATGGCTTGTTCAACCAGGCTTCCTGATCCACTAATACTTGTTGATGCTTTAGCAAGAGCTAGGGCAGCTAGGGAGGATTTGATTAGCAGGGCTGCAAACCCATGATTAATTTGTAAGCACGATTAAAGAGATTGTGTGTGTTAGAGCAGCTTTGGGCTACTTCTTGTATTGGTCTTCAGGCCTTTTCTCTTGGAATCGGGGTTTCACCTCTTTTGTTTTAATAAATGTTAATCAAAAAAGGTTATCCAGATTTTCCTCTTTCTTTCCAATAAGTAATTGTATTGATTCCAGAAGCGGAGACCCCCCTCCCCCGACAAAAGTATTCAAGTATAGCAGTACAAAGAAAGAAATACAACAAAATTAGGGATTTTGGATGATATGATCCAAATAAAAATGATGCCTATATGGCTTTATTCTGAAAAGAGAATGCTGTAAAATCTACCAAAATTGAAGATAAGAAGTGTAAGGTACTTAAGATTCTGGCCACAAGTCCCAGTGTAATTCACTGTGAAACTTTGTCATAAAAGATACTGTGATTCTGCTCCTACAGAATTGCCCAACATATTTCAAAGGAAAGAGGTGAAAGCACAATAGCATTCTGTTTGAAGAAACATAATATCATAGGATTTTGACATGAAAAAGGAGACATTAAATGCAAATAGCTCTATCAGGGAACTTACTGTTTTAGGAGTAAATCACATTTTTAAGCAAAAGTCCTATTGCTTTTAGGAATTGTTTTGGTACGATTATAAAGTTTTAGTTCTACAAATTCTTTTAAGGAACTTTAGTTAGCTTTAAGTCTTCAAAAAAATAAAATACATTCATAAGGTTTTTAGTACATTATGATTTTCAGAATATTGTGTCTCCAAGTCTAATCTAATAGCTAAGCCACTTGGGACCAATAGCTCACAATGTTATCCATGAATAAATCCCAGAACTCCTTCTTAGCTAGTAGACAATAAACTTTCTAATGGAAATGGTGAATTGGTGTATGGTCTATTATAAGAATCTCAGCTGTGGCACGGTGTCATAAAAAACTGTTGCATTTTGTTCTTCCCATATTATCCAGGCACTGCTCGCCCACAAGTATCTCCACATGATTAGAACCCTAGTTCATATCATTTTCTCTACCAGTGGTTCGTTTTTTAATCAGCTCTCTACCAGTGGATCTTGACGACACTAGTTTGACCTTTTTGTGAGTCATTCCTGCATTAGCATGATACATGAACACATACATAAATTTGAGCATGTCGAGACCGGGTTTGGTAGTTGGGTTGTTTAGCGAGCTTCCCTAAACAACTGAAGAATCTTCTGCATAGCAAGTTGGTTTGGGGGTCAATTTCTCTCCCCATCCTAAATTCATGGAAAAATTTTTCAACCTAAAATATATTGCCATGTTCTCTAGATGATCTCATTTTATGGGTAACATTTAAATTAGGAACTTAATACTTTTAGAGAGTTATTATTAACTAAACAAGACTCTAATTTGAGGTTGAAATAGGACCAACATAAACTGCAGGATTCAAAAAATAACCAGTTCATAGTGTCCCTTATCTGACAAATGGTCTGGGTTGACCACAAGATTACTCTGTCGCTGAAATAGAGTAGTTTGTCTAGGTAAACTCCCTTCTGACCCAGTTAAGAATATATAGCAATAACATGATCCTAATTCAATATTGAAGCCCCACACATGAATCAGGGAAAGGCTTTTTGAGTCATCAAATAAGCCAAGAAAGAAACTTTTTTTCCAGAAACAATAATGTTAAAACTTTGTGAATGAACCTCTATCCTTGAAGAGGGAAAATGATTATGAAGTTCATTAATAACTTATCAAAAAAATGTTCAATGATAGAGTGCAATTGAAGCTCAGGAATTTTTTAACCTTAACAACTAATAACTACCCAAGAAAGGAGATGAAACTCAAGATAACATCAAATAAATGATAGATTTTGGCATGCACAAAAATATTGGAAATTCTAGTTCGGTGTGACAACAGAGGATTCAATCACAGTATACTATTAAGATCTTCACAAACTGACCTTGTCAATGATAATGCAAACTTTGCCAAACATATTTTCTGGAATTGAGTAGCACCTCAGTACTTCTTGCAAAACCTGTGAATAGGAGAAAACAACTAAAAAGAATCACATCCCAATTTTCAAAATTCATGATATCATCATTATCATCATCTAATCCGTGTCCCAACTCACATCAATCCTGTTATGCCATTCCATTCTGTTCAGTACTATATACATTGTTCAAAATCCATGATATGCATTTCTCTTCTAAGAAGTACCCAAAAAAATTAAGGTAAAAACGTATTGACTGAGATGTTCATCCATTGAGATTCCAGAATAAAGGAGTTGCATCAAGCAGCCAAAATTAATAAAAGAAATAAAAATTCAGAAAATGTTCCGAAACATCCTTCAGATTAATTTGTTTCACTTGGTTTGAGTAACTCAAACCTCAAAGGTGTTTGATATTGCAATAATCAATATTTCTTTGATAATTATAATGGACAGTGATTCTCTACCAATATTATCAAAGGATGAAAGGAATCAAATGGTTCCTGGAAACCCGAAACCTTGGAATTGGTGGGATCTCTGACAGAGGTTATGTAATGTCTGGGTTGGCAAAAGCTTAGGTCTGTTTTCTGGGGCAGAGAGGAGTTTGCTAGAAGAGCTTTTGAAGCTTTTGATAGGAGAAAGAAGGAAGAGACACTGAAGAACATGAACTAGTAGGGGAAGGAGGAGAGACATGCAATGAGGAAGGAGATGGGCAGGAAGAAGTGTTTGAAGGAGATGATTAACAATGCTTTCGAGTTGGGAAGGGATCTTTTGTTTTCTCTCTGCGCCTTTTTACTTTGATGTTTGAGTTGTTCTGGGATGTTGCTGGGATAGGTGTTATCTTAACACCTTGATGATGTTTGTAATCAGCTCCGTTTATTTTCTTTTTAATAGTTTTCTTTCTTTTTACTATTAAAAAAAGGGCATGGATTTAAATTTAACCAAAACTTGTATTAGTAGTAGACTGGCTTATTTTCTAGATGATCTAGCTTGACCTATGATACACAGTTAAATTCTAGGTTTTGGGAATATGGAAATCCTCCTAGCCAGATCCAACAAATATGACTTGGGTAGATGGTGGCTCAGTTTCTTTTGGGTTTTCCATCCACTTTCAAAGACTTCTGAAGATTGGTAAATTGGAGTTTACAAGGAAATTGGCTGCTATTTCAGATGTGCCACATAAAGCAAAAGCAACCACCACTTCAAGAGGAAGGAATCATTTCAATAAGAAGATTAGGAGTAAGAATATTTAAAAAAAGAAAAATCAATTTATATAAATACAATAGGTGATATGTCAAGATCTCTAAGGCAGCAATCTTCCAGAAGAAAATGCATTTAAAAGTCCAATGGCAATATAATAATCAATTCAATCAGTTATATTTTATAAGGTTAAATCTAAGACAAAAATTTAAACAATGTTATTAAGAACCACAGACATCCACATTAGACATCAAAAGGTAGATAATTGAGACCTTTCTGCTGGAAACTTTAAAGCCCACATCAGATGCTGTTATACCAAGTCGCTTAAAAAAAGTGACAATAGAAGAAATAAGTTCTGCTTCAGCCTACAACAAAAAGGATAAAAGGTTAAGTCTGAGAAAAAGAACAACTTAAAAATAAAAAATAAAACATTTACAACCAATAATACTAATTACTGCAACAAAATAGGTGCATATGTTCCAACATGAATATCTGACCAAAGCAAGAGAAAGAAAATCTTTCCTTTTCTTTTTTCTAGAAGGGTGTTGGAGGTTTATTTTTTAATCAGTAACAAGACCAAAGGAATAGGGGCCATTGCTTGGCATAATGGTAAAATATAAGCCCAGCAAGTGTGAGAACATGGGTTCAAGTCTGCAAGTGGCCATTTTGTGCAAAATTAATAAATAAATAAATGCCAAAGGTTAGGACAGTGTCCAGTCTACCCCCCCCAAGACAACGGATAGCTGGGACCAATATTGGGTAATGGCCTTCTGAACGACCAAAGGAATATATTAATACATATTGAAAATATGGAAAAACATTTCTCTTTTATTAAAAACTAATAAAGTTCTGTTCGTTAGTTGTTGCTGATCAATGAAAAAGATGGAAACGCACTTCCTAATCTCCATTAGGGAAGGAAAAGGACAGCCAGGAAGGCTGACATACCCATCTAGCCATACAACAAAACTGGCCCTGGATAATGGTTCCTCCAATTCAGAAAGCTCCTCCCTACTCCAACCATGCTATCAGACACGGAGTTTGCCAACCTAGGAATCCATTTGAATGAACCATTTATTCTGGATACCAAAGATTAAGCCCCCTTGATGAAATGTTGAAAATGCCACGTTCTGTCAGAGTACAAAATCATTCATAAAATCCCTCTAAAGAGAGGAGAGAGGAGGATGAAAGCCATAGTTCCATCATGCATGTATTGGCAGCATTAACAGTTTTCTAGGTGGATGATCCAGAGACATTTAATTGACAGGTCACTCCATGTGATGTGAATAACAAGTACATGCATGGTTACAGGAGTGTAATTAAGACAAAAAGCATCACAATTGACTGTTATTAAGACAAAAGGCATCACAGATTCACAATTGACTGTTTATTAAGGCAAAAAGTATCGCAATTGAATGTTTTGTATACATTAATACATCCAACTAAAGCACACCAGAATTGACTAAAAAATAAATAAAGCACAACAGAACCATTTCAATTATGCTCTATCACCAATAAACAAGAAGTAAAGTCGAATCATCTCAAACATCAACAAAAAGATAGGAAGAAAATACTGTAACTTCAGGAACACCAATGATATCCATATTCCACTGGTAGTGCTCACGACGTCTTCCCCTAGTCATCCGCTCATAACGCCAACACTGTCCAATAGCAAACCATTTCAAAGGGAGGGAAACAGATTTTCTGGACAGAAAAAAACATGGAGATCAAATTCTGGCATCTTTACCTGGATACAAAAATCAGAAAAAGTAAATAAATGAATGAAAGCTATAAGTATTTGGCATATTTAGCTAATGAACCAGCAAACATAAACCAAAAATAATGTTGGAAATAAAACAAGAATAAACATGAAATACAATAACACTTGGGAAAAAATCAAATCAAGCAATCAACAAATTCAGTACCCCTTCTGTATGACAAGCCTTGCCAAAGAAGGAGTAAGTTCAGGCCTCAAAGCAACACGACGGTTTCCTCGATCCTTGAAATTATATAACTGATGAGGAAAAAAGGAAAATACAAATTTTATCAGCTTAGACATTACTACAAAGAACAACATAACATGCTGAAAATTCCAATGAAGACATGTTTACAAGTGTATATACATTCTCTTGTGTGTGCATGTCTATCTAGTTTTATTATCCAAAATCAGCTAGGATAAAGTTTTTATTTCAATTACAGCCAGAAAGACGCAAATGTTGCTGCCAGCTATCATAATACATGATTACCAAAGCTTAAGTAACAGAAAACTAGATAAGAAAGGTGTTTTACAGAAAAAATAAATAAACAAACAGAAAATCCCTTCTTGAGTAATATTTTTCTGATTATTGTCCTATTCTTCATATTTAAATAAAAACTCTTTGATTGCTGTTAATGGTCAAAAAAATTACCACAGTTGGTGCATCATACAATTCAAGAAGAGCCCAACATAAACCAAATTATAATTTGATTCCTCCAAAACTACATATTTTCTATTGCATGCTTTCTAAACCTTTCTTGTATCATTTTTCTTAGTTTTTCCAGCAATGTTTCTTTGTTTTCGGGCCTATGTTTGTTGGCAATATATATCTTCTTTCCTCTTACTTATGATGATAGCTGTATTTTTTAATATCACAAAGAAAAGGCTGCATGACATACCAAGCATCATGTACAAGGATATAATAGTTATGGAGTATATGCAAAAGGGATAATTTATGCTTCAGCTTTTATTAATAAATCGTTTTGGTGCTTAATCTTACAATAATTGAGAAGAGATTCAGTTGAAAACTAAATTTCTACTATTCAACTTTCTGTTGGAAACTTTTGGCATAATCTTCTATAAAATAGTTTTTTTATTATTCTTGACTTTGATAGAAATTGAGCTTAAACACCCCAACCGCAAATACCCAATTGGTTGATCATTTTGTTTCACTTGAAATTCTCCCATAAACTTCAGCTCTCATTTTGATTTTGGCTCTGGCTCCCTTGATATGATCTCATAAGAAACAAGTTGAGAAGTTTTATAGTACAAATGATCACCTAGGCTACACGACTCATGTCCATTGGAAATTGAAGAAAAACCATTTCATTGACAGTTGAGAGGAGACAAAATACATTTTAATCTGGAATCAACCACTAAATTGAAGGCTTGGATTAACGATTGTTTGGAGATAAAACAACTGTGTTTATATTCTATAGCTTGAAATTTCTTATTAGAAAACCAAATTCCCAGCCCCCAACCCATACTTAAAGGATGCTTGCAGCTCAAAATAGTTGAGGTTAAAGCTTTGTTCAGTCAAGAAAATTTGACAATCGCCTACATAGCTAGTATGGTTAGTTCCAAGAACTTGTGAAGTTTTGCTCTTTACCACTTAAATTCATAACCACAAGCAAAACCATCCATTTCCATTAAGTTGATAGTCTTTTTGTAGGTAATAAACAATACGATATGTCGATCACATGAACTCAAAGTTGAAAGCACTTAGACCATTTATCCTTCAGAAATTAGCCATTTTACAGTTGTAATTCCATTAATTTCACGCTCCAGTTAGTCTGCAACTTGTAGCATCCATTTCCACTAAGAAGAAAAACAACTTTCGGGTAAATATATTACTTGGTCTCTTATCTCCTCGCCAGCTTTTCTAACGAAGAGCGCCTCCGATTCAAGCACCGGGAAATCAACCTCTTCGAATCCAAACAACCGGGAGACCTTCCATGTAATAAATTATAGTCAAACAAATTGTAAACAAGAACTAAAACACCCAAAATGGAGAAATTAGGAGGACATACTGAAAAAAGGAAGCTCACCTCTCTGAAATTTTGGAAAAGCCAGCTTCGGAGACGCATGTCCTCTGGAGGGAAATCTCTGGTTCCTTTGGGAGGATTGACGTCGATCTTCTGCGGCACTTCGATGACGGGAGGCGAGGACAGAGCACCAGACCTACCACCACCACCATTGTCGTTTGAGCTCAAGCTCGGCGGTTCTGCCGACGCGGTTGTAGAATATGACGACGACGACGATGACGATGATGATAGCTTTCTAGGGTTTAGAGAGAAAGAAGGTCTTGAGAACCTGCAACTTCGAAATAAAGCGACAGAAAAGGAAGAGTAAATGGAAGGGTTGAGAGACTGAGGAAGGTGTCTGAGAGAGAGGTTTTGGCGGAGATGAAGAATGGAGGTGGAGGGCTTATTGAAGTAGAGGATGAGACGTGGGTGATGGATAAGAAATGACGCATTCGCAGACATCGCGAAGAACAGCAGCTCAGAGTCCTGTGGCTACTCTTTACAAGAAGACTGTTGGCGACTCACCAGGATAAATGGGTCGGTTTTGACAATACCCGTACCGGATTCAACGGCTCATATAAACCAAATGGAGAACAGAAGGGAAGTCGAGAAAACCTGCCGCCCCGCTTTGAATTTGGACCAAAGTTATCGGGTCAGGCAAGACGTTCCCGGATAAGTTGAATAGGTTGGATTTGATTTGGATCTCTACCCACTTGATACTACGGCTGATTGGGAATATCTACCAGAGATGTTCCCAATTTACAGTTGCAGTGTTCTGTGGAAAAGTGTTGGGAGCATTCTTGTATAAGCAGGTCCGGACTGATGCATGCTCACTACGGTAAGCTGAACCAGATCTCCTACGCTCTAACTCTTCCCGCACATCCTTAGTCAGAGGCATTGACGGGGAGATGTTGTTTATTATGGACGGCAATTTTTTAAATATCGTTTTATTATAGGCTGATATATTAGTTGGTGCATATCGGTCTGTATCTCTACACATCTCCGCCCCATAACGTATTGGGAACATTTTTTGATGATGACATCAATTATTATTATCGGGAGATGTTTTCAATACATAGTGGAGATGTGTTACGGGACATTGTGCGAGTGGAATAAAGATGTGACAAGCCAATCCAACCATAAAGGTCTTCCCAGAAGCCCAAGTGGAGTATGCAATAGAGCCACTTGGTGGGACAAGCCAACCCAAGCTGTCTCCGACAACGTAGGTTGCCGGTGATCTGAAAGGGGTGGGAGCCGGAGCCGTAGTGGCAATGATGTTAATAGCTAACTTTTGGCCAAACGTGCAGTGCTGGGTGAAGGTGCATATGTATAAGTGCTCGCCTGTGGAGTTGAGGATGATTCTCAACAGGGTTGGTCGATTGAACGGAGCCGATAGGGCTGCTGCTGTTGTAGGAATCGAATGTTTCCTTTGTCACTTGGGCCACGTCGTGCGCTCCACTGGTGAAGTTGAATTCTGCAACAAGTGATTGCAGAAGTTTTTAAGTACAGAGTCAGAAACGTATTTGATCAAACGTTGCCGGAGATAGTACGGATCCATTGGGAGCAGGGGAGGATGAGGTCAAGCCAATTGATACAGGACAAATGCAGGAACTTGGAGCACCATTTGGAGAGCAGAGGAGGAATAGAAGCGGAAGGGGCCGTTGAGAATGATGACGAAGATGTGGGGTGTTGAAGAGGGATGACATTCACCGACCAATTCGGTATCGCGATTGCAGCATAATTATCAGTAGCAGTGACCTTACTAGACTACTATGCTGCAGCAGCAACTGCGAGGGGTCCTCTAGCAAACAAATACCAGAATACTTAGAAAGAAAAATAAAATAAAATAAAAAATCAGTGAGAAAGAGCAAGATGATGACTACTCGGGAAAAGGAGGACGAAGAAGATGACGACAAAAACGTATCTGTAAACCCAAAATGGCCAAAAACTAACGTATCGGTTAATGATCAAGCAGTTCATTGGAACTTCACAAAATAACTGATGCCGGAGGACCGATCAAAATCCCATGTTAATTACTTGGGATTATAGCTGATAAGGGCAATTTTTGGGCGGAGGTAGACAGAGGCATTGTAGGCTGGAGGCAGCGAGGCTGATTAATGGTTTGCAAGAAGAAGAAGATGAACAATGTATTCGCCCTTAATATTATTTTTAAAAAGTTAATTTATTTTAAAAATTTTATTAAAAATATTACTTTTACTGATATTTGGACTCAAAAGTTGCCTTTATCAACTATAATCCCTTTTTATTTTCTTTTTTTATCTTTTTTAAATTGATTTAGGGAATCCATTTAAGGCCCATCTAGCACTTGAACCAGATCACACCCAGAAACATTTATGAGGCATATCGGGAGTCATTGACACAATACATAATACGCCCTATAAGAGATCTGAGCCCATTAACAAATATTGGGTTTGGGGCCAGGTTTAAGTCCAAATTGTGGGTTTTGGGACATGAAGTAAATACATTAGTTTCTATATATTAGGCAAAATGTGGATTACTGACGTGTTTATTTTAGTTTGGGTTTTTTATACTAAACGTGGCAAATAAAAAGTAAAAAAATATACTATTTGAAGAAATTGCATGTAAAAAAATATTAATTTTAAACATGGTTGCAAATTACATGCACATAATGATCTGATTGGGCTTTTATCAATTTTTAAATGGACAAAGCCTGGACCCGAAACAGTACAAAAATACAAACTCAGACCAACCCGAATTGCAGAACTTGGAAAGTGGAGTTATGGCCTTATGGACGCCCATACTTCAATGGGCACCGACCATGACCACCATATCCACAAAGCCCAAATATCCATGGTTCCAAGGAGTCACGGGGCTCATGTCTCTCTGTTGCTATGTTTATATCACATGGCTGAATGATGGATTGACATTTGACAATAACTAATTTATGCACCTCTTCTGAACCAGAATAAATAGATGAGGCATCAGCCCACGAGCTTGGTAGTACCACCTTGGGCTTCCTAGATTCAATCCTACACTCATGACCAGCTTATAAGTGAGTTTATGGGTGGGGCCTAGCCCATCAGACATCTCATGATGGGCTGAAGCCCTTTCAAGATTCTTTTAATAAAAAACCCTTCATAAAAAATTAAAAAATATATACATATTGATTGAATCTTTGATGAAACTGGATATGTTTCAACTTTCACCATCTATCAATTGTTCAACTATTTGGGGTCAGAATCTGATCCCTGTAGAATTGTACAAGGGCCAGTTGAGCGTGGTGAATATGCATGAATGGTGGGGCCAAGCCCAAAAGACATCTCATGATGGGCCTAAACTGATTAGGCCCTATCCCTTTCTAGCCTACTACTTGTAGGCTACTAGGATTCTCTAGATATATGTTTCATTTTTTCACCATCTACCAATTGTTCAACTATTCACGTTGCAGCTTGATCACTGTCAATACTCATACAAGGGCCCGTTGGGCGTTTGGGTTGTTGCTTTCAAATGATGTCAGCCCAATGCGCAAACAGGCCTAAAAAGGTTAGAGCCAGGCCTGGCCCAAATACATTGACTGTTTATTACTGACATTCCTCTTTTTTTAGGGGGTGTTTGGGACGTGACTTGAGTTTATTTAGAGGAGTTTTGAAAATAAAATTCATTTTTTTTCTTTTTCTTAATTTACTTATAATCCTAATGTGGACATATTTCAAATAAAAAAATTGTCGAAAACCCAGAAAAAAAAGTTCTAAAAGCTGAAAAAAAGGGTTTACTTGAAGCAAACCATATAAGAACTTTTTGAAGTTTCTGATTTCAAAAAACATTATTTATACAAAAACTAGAGTTGGGTTTTAAATGATCTTCAGATGTGGCAGGTGGTGGGGGGTGAGAGCACAAAATTGAATTACACATTTACCTATTGTCCTCATGAAAATATTTTGAACACTCTACTTTGTTTTTAGGAAACGAGGAAAAAAGAATCATGTAATCAGTAGGAAAATAGTTCTAAGATGTGGTAGCTTTTTTCAATTCAGAATATTAGGCTGTTTGGTTTGATAGAAAATATATAAGAGGAAAAACAATTATGTAATCTTTTTGTTTTTCTCTTATATGTTTTCTATCAAACTACACATATCCTTGGTGAAAAAAATGGAGATTTTTGGTAAGTTCTTAAAGGCATTTTATAAAATCCCATAAGAACTTTCTCAGAACTGTCATTCTCACTTACTTGAGGATCTAAATACAAGTAGGTTATGTTTGATTTGATAGAAAAATCCATTCTAGAGAAACATTCCTGGGTCTTATTTATGAGGACTAAAGCTTTGACTAAGCTGCTTTGAAGAAGCTATTAAAAGAAGTTTCACCGAAAAATTAATTGTTTGACTGAACAACAGCATATTCGGGCTTTTCAGATTTTTTACCAAATATAGCTTATTGGCCGTTCATGTGGAACCTATCTTGCAAAGCGAGAAGCCCTCAAAAATAGACACTTGATCTAATGGATACACACACATATGTGTATGTATGTATGTATGTATGTATGTAGATAGATGAATAAATAGACTAGTTTGTCTACCACCTAATTTGCTTTGCCCAAAGAGGTTGAGTTTTGTAGTTAATACAATTTATAAATAATTCGAGTCTTCTTCAATCCATACTTGTCGAAATCCCTAGTTCAACAACCAGTTCAATACATGCTTCTTTTGTTGGGTTAGGTTCAATTTATTAGAACACAATTATTTCATTCTCTCCGCAAGTTAATAAAGAAACTCTTTCTAAGTAGTGGATTCTACTTCATTTTGCAAATACCTTTGACACTATTTGGTCTTAAATGCAAGGCTCAAAGCATCGATATCATATACTTTATAATAATTCAAATATAATTTTTAGCAATAATATGATAAACGTTGTTGTGGCTGGAAAGTGCCATGGCGATAGACTATTATGACCTGTCAGTTGTTGTCCTCCTTCCCGTTGGATTTGTAGCATTAGACGGAGAGGTAGAAGTAATTAGGTCTGCTAGCGAGTTGCCTTTGTTAGGTCTTGTTCTTGCGATCTCATGCCCGCTCAAAATTTGTTTTGTTGGAGTGACTTGTGGGATCTGCTTTGTCTCTGTTTTCTGCTTTTCATATATGTTTTGTATACTTTGTTTTCTTTTCTAATAAATTTATCTTATCTTATTCAAAATAATAATAATAACAATTCAATTCTTCATCAATTTATAAACCAATTATAGCTTATAATCAAATAATTAAGATTGTAAGCTAATCATTAGGATGAGGACCAAGCTAAATTGAACCAAACAATTAAGATTGAAGTTGTGGAAATTTACTCAATTTGATAAACTACTTATAATCCAACATACTTTACATGATTGGACGAAAAAAATATGATTGAAGATATAAATAATCCAATGAATGTTGATAGCAAAAAAATACCCAATGCAATCAACTACTAAGGCCAAGTTTGGGAGTGCTTATTTGAATAAGAACTTATTTTGGGTTAGGACCATACCATTAAGCACTTATTGGCGTTTGGGAAATAAGTGCAACTCAACCAATTTAACCAGGTATGGTATCCCGTTTTTTTTTTTTCCTCATTTTTTCATTATCGGATGATCAACTTGACTGATTTCAGTAGATC